TTTTTATTAGACTCTGTTTAACCAATTAAGTAACTTGCTGTAACTTGTAATTTATATTTCTTGTTGTCTATGTATGTATGTATGTGTGTAAATTTAACATTCACATTTTTTTTCTTTGTTTTTATGAAATTATTTTATTATATGTATAAATCACAACAATATTTTAGTCACACAATTTACAAATAAACCATTATGTTAAACCTAAAAGGTAAATGCACCCACGTATGTACATACATTTGAAAATTTTTTTTAGACAAATTTGAATACAATTATTTCCATTAACAACACATTTTTGTTTTAATTTATAAATTTTCTTTAGTTCGGTATTAAAAAATTAGCAACTAAAGACTTGGCACATACGTACTTATTGATATATAATTATTGATCCACATTTCTATACACATACATGTAAATTACGTATTTACAGTGTACATATGTTTGTATCTATTTACCGATTTTAATTAAGTGCTATTGAATGCCATGCATGGCTTTTATATTTTATTTTAATTAACTGACTTTTCATTTCAATTACATTTTAACATATAAAAACATGTTTTCACAATATTATTAGAAAAGCTTATATAAAAGAATTAATGCATTTTTGCTTTTTTATTATTATTTTATTTTCATTCCAGACATATTGAAATATTTTTTTTTGTATATTTATTGTAGTTTGTGCTTTCACATTAACATTGACAAAAACGCAACAATTAATTATAAAATTTTGTATGTATGTATCTACATATATTATCATTTAACATCTTAATTAGTTGTTTGAATTTGATTTAACATTTCATCTAGAAGTTTCGTTTAGCATACTTACAATAAAAGTTTTTCGTAAAAAATGCTTAAAAAATTTCAATATTTGCCTTTTGTTCTCAACAGGAAATCGTAGTGTGAACTAATACATAGGACAAATTTTAAATTTCAATAGTTACCTCCCCCAACTGCAGGCATACAATAGGGTGGTCCTTAAAATATAAAAATTATAATGGGCACCCCTTTATTTTATTCTAAATACAAAATAAAAACAGCCACGAAAACTTTATGTTACATAAACTTTTGGGGTCACTACCAGGTTTTGAAAAAAACATATATATATAGCCAAAAATTGACAAACTTATGATTTTGGTCGGCTATAACACAGCGTTTTATGAATTTATATAAATAAGTTTCAACACGCTGTGTTATAGCTGGTCAAAGTCAAAATTTTGTTGAATTTTCGATTTTTTTTTTAATTTTTTTTTTTTTTAATTCTGGTAGGCACTTCTAAACATTTGTTTAATTTTTGGAATTTTCGTGTATGTTTTAATTTATACGTACCACAAAATAAGGAGTGCCTCACAAAAAATTTAGATGTTGATATTTAACGGACCACCCTAGTATACATACAATCATATGTATGTCGTATGTATAAAATTGTTTTCTTATACTTCCTAAACTTATCACTTACACATTACATTTTTACTCTACAATGCAACCATTTTCTAGTTTATTTCAGTTTCTTACAAAATGAATTTCAGTTTACACTGACGCCTACCATATAAACTCCACTCTACCATATAAAAATATTATAAATAGATTTATTTTTTTCCACCAATTACTAACCTAACAAAAACTTATGCAAAAGTACAAAATTAATTTATTCACGCCAGGGACCGCAAAGGTTATACGGATGTTTATAGTAAAAATTATAATTTAACCGTCAAATTAGATTTTTACTTTACCGATTAAGTTTAACCGTTACCCTATGATTTTTAGTTTTTCGATCAAGAATAATCGTTATTTTTCGATTTTAATTTCTCCGTTAAATTTTCAATCGATATTTTAGATTTATAATTTTTTGAACATATGAAAATCGTTATTTTCAGATTTAATTTTTTAGATCATAAACGATTTATTTCGATCATAGAAAGCAGTCTCTATTATAACGGTTTAAAATTATCGAAAATATAAAAAATCCAAATTTGACCAAAAAAATAAGAAACATAAAAAAACGATTAAACTTCATCGGAAATGTAGAAATCCAATTTTAACGATTAAATTATGATTATTATCCGATAAAATAACAGTTTTTCAATGATCTGAAAATAAAAATCTTGATATTTAACGGTTATTTTCGGTCCCTGATTCACGCATTACTTGCATATACAGTGACTCAAACAAATAAAAACGTGTTGTTTTTATTAATATTCGTAATATTTTCCAACTAATTTTGTTTTGTTATATTTATATAAAAATATCGGCTAAGCTTTAACCAAAACTGTGTAAATCACAGTTTCAAATTTTATACAAAATTTAGGAAAATTCAACATATTTTTATCAAAATTTGAACTTTTTATTCTGAATTTTTAGAAAATTTTTGGGTATGCAGTTATATAGCGCACACAATTTTAGTCAAATGAAGTGCAAGTTTCAAACGGCTAAAAAATCGAGTTGAATTTTGAGAATTTTTTTAGGCTACTTTTTCGGGTTTTTTAATATAACAAGCGCAGTTTACAAGAACTCGCGTTGATATTTTGAAATTTTGTTGCTGGCGGTCTCCCGCGTTTTATTTCATAAGAAATTCATACTTATACGAAAAAAAGTGCAAAAATCCGTCATCAAAAAAAAATGGTTGCATTAAAACCATGATGAAATACGTGAGTGGACAATGAAATGAAGGCAAAAATTTGTTTTTCAAAGGGTTGAGTATAACATCCAGCATATTTAGCTCCCTGCAAGGGCAACATTTTTTTGGTGGAAACGAAATCACCATAAAATTGTATGGACTATTAAACTGCATACCAAAAAATTTTCTAAAAACTCAGAATTAAAAAAAATTTTGAGTTTTCCTAAATTTTGTATTTCGTTTGAAACTGTGATTTACACGGTTTTAGTTAAAGCTTAGACGATATTTTCATATAAAACTACACAAAAAAAAAATTAGCTCGAAAAACATTACGAATATTTGAGGAAAATCAACACGTGGTCATTTGTTTTAGTCACTGTATTTATAAACCCTATACTAATAATTACCACATTTTTACGCAAACCCAATTTCACTACTTTTTGACTACAGTATCATATAAAGTGATTTATTCGTACGATTAAATATCACTGGGATTTCCAAACCGCATCTTACAATGTCCTTACTAAGCCAAGTAACTGTTCTGTATATCGATTGAAATTCCGCAACTTAATTACGGCAAGTTATAATCCTCATTCCTTAGCTGTGCTCTCTTAGTAGCTTAGCTTATTTCAAGCATACTTTAGACAGCCGTATTCCCAATGGACTTCTACCCAGACCGCTCTACTCAGAATATTGGTATCGAAACTACCATCAAATTAAAAAAATTTTGGCTGCATGATGAGCTCACGTAGTTTATTGAACAAGCCTCGCACAGTGGAAGAACTCCATATAAAATATGGCAAAAAGTAATAAATGTGCTTCGATTTTGCTGAAAATTGTAACGTTGAGTAATTTTGCCTAGGAATGTATAAATATGAAAAAAATGATCGAATTTAACGAACTGACACGCCCACTACACTAGGCGGCGGTTATGGTAAATTTTATCCGATTTCAATGAAATTCGATTTGTAACTTAGATTAACCTAGGCAGACATAGATCTGAATGATGGGAAAAATCGGTCAACTGCCACGCCCACCAACCATCCGAATTCTGGATTCTAATGTGGCAAGGACTAGTAACGATTCTCCAAAATAGCAAACATTTGGTGCAAGATCAATTTTTTTATAAAAACCCCCAAATATATAACAAATTGTGTGGATTTGCGACGAGCCATGCCCTCTGCCACCTCTCAAGTAGGCGGGAATGGGAAATGTTATCCGATTGCATTGAAAATCGGTTTGTAAGGTAGCTTAATCCAAGTAACAAACCGAATTTCATTGGAATCGGATAGTTTTTAACATATTCGCCCCCTAGTGTAGTAGGCGTGGCAGTTAGCCAATTTTTACCAATTTCATAATTTGGCTTTCCTTGGTGAAAGTGGCACAAATAGCAAATTTTAGCAAAAAAACGTTTAATATCTTTTCCAGCAACTTTTATAGGGAACTGAGGGTGTGAAGAGTTCAGTCTATGGACGACATGGAATAAAACGGACGCAGCTGAAATTGATCTTGCTATTATCTTAAAGTGTGCAAAGTATTTTTGTACAAATCACCCTCCACCGCGCCACAAATAATTTTTACACCCCATAAAAACATTAAAATGTCTGTGACTAAGTACTGGGAAAAATTATGAAATCATTTGAAGAGCCTGGCTCACCGAAGGGATATATATCCTTATAATCAGCAGAGAGGTATACGCTGCAGCACAATGTAGTATAATAATGAGGTTTCTGAGCTAAACTTTATTTGTTACTTTGTTCAACTTAAGAGCTTAGGGAGATACACTCACTGAATCTACTTAGATTTCTAACTTTTACGGGTATAATCTGACCTAATAGGTGCAATTTTCCACTCTCTTTTCTCTTACGTTCAATTCCGAGCGACCTTATGTACCAGATTTTGTCTATCTTAATTCAACCTCTACCAACTATTGAAAAAATTCGAACAGCTTCCAGCCTTAACAGAGCTTTGTATTATTTAATTAAGATTTCTTCGTGTCTTGGTTATTTATTTCCCAAATGTACTCCTTAGTTCTGAACAGCGTTTCGTAGCTCCTTTTGAAAGGGAAGGATGTTACTTTCAAGTTGCTCATTTACATATGTATATCACTTCTACCGAGTTTAAGACCTAATCTGTGTTTTATTATAACGAGATCCTTCACTTTTATTCACAATGTTCCTTCTCATGTTCTTCTCTTATTTCTTGCATTAAATTCTATTTAAAAGTTACACTTACCTACATTACTAAAACTGCTCTAACAGGACTTCCTTCGTATGTAGTATACAAGTAGTTGTATATTAAGATTTCTTTAAATGTTCACATTTAAGAGCTAAAGCTTATTCCAAACCTTCTTTCGTTGCACGCGTTAACCTGTTTCATAGACACCTGAAAACGAGCTACCTACACTCGAGTCTTCGTACTCTCATCTCTTTACAGTTCGGCGAAAATATTCTCCCTAAAATCCAACTCTGGATGTGCCGAATGCGACGAACCGTGACTATAGTCTCGCGATTTCATTGAACTACGCGCCGAAGAAGAAGAGAAGCTAGACGTACGTCCACTACTGCGTCGCATTCGACCCTCAACCACAGACATTTTTGATAACGGTTGCGTGGGATCCAATTCACCGAACGCACCCGCAATAAGATCGCTGCTATTTAGTGAATTGAAGCTATCTCGCTTCGAGTTGCGATGCGAATTTGAGTTCTGGCTGTGGTGTGATGATTTGCGGCTAAGTCGACGCGAGTACTGATACTGGTAGGCGGAAGTGGGCGTGTTAGATGCTGCAACGCCGCTACCCGCATGAGGCACAGCGTTTCCAGCACCCGGTGTAAACTTGTCAAAGAAGTCAGACGGCACTTCTTCGTCTACATCGATGCCGCTCTCATCTTCGTCGTCGCGAGGCAGTCCATGCGCTGCACGTTCCTCGCCGCTGAGCGTGGATGCAACACTGTAGGCTTCTGTTGTGCTACTACCACCACTACTACTTGATTGTAGCGGGTCACTACACAGCAGCGAATTGGGTGTGCTATCTTTTGCTGTCGCCGTCGAGGGTGTCGGCGTGACTTGTGAGGATACGTCGTAACTGTACGGATCGAGTTTGGGTTTTGGCGAACGCTGATAAATCTTATCGATATCGGGCAGTTTGCGACGTTCACCCACCGTCATGCGCACCGTTTCGCCATTTTGCTCACGCTCAATCATCTCCTGTATGTTCATGCTGCGCTCGCGTTCCAACATATCGATTATCTCCAGATCGCGCTCGAGCGTACTAGCCGTGTCCATGTGCGAGAAACTACTGCAATCACTGAATGATAAATCCTTATTGCGCAACAAAGGCTGACCACTGAGGCTCCACTTCTTGTGTTGCGTATAGTTGAGCGCACTCTGACCGCTGCCGCTGGGCACAATCATGCCACTCACAATGGAGGAATCTTCGCCATCGCCAAAGTTGCTTGCACCGCCATCATCCTCGAGCAAACTACTGGCGCCATTGCAGTAGGTCGAGGAGGTCATATTCGAGCAGGAATTATCCAATGAACCAAGTGTCAATTTGCGCTCACCAGCGCTTCCTCCTCCTCCTCCTCCTCCGCCACCGGCCACACTCTCGCGTCGACTGCCGCTGCTTACACTGCCGCCCTTCTGCGTTGGACGCGCCTGCAGCTGGCCACCAGCACTGCCGACGCCTGCCAACGCTGACTTATTGCCTTTTCCGCCATCCGATATTATCTTAATCTTCACATCATTCTTCTTCACACGCACATCCTTCGCCAAAGCTTGCCTACCATGGCCATGCTGACCTGCCGCACCGCCATTCATGGTGTCTCTGCCAGGCTGTCGGCTGTTATGGTGATGCTGCTGCTGTTGTTGCTGAAACTTGGCCGCCCTGTTGAGTTCGTGTCGCGTCACCAGCGCTGTACCGGTAATACTGGCACCCCCGTTCAAGTACTCTTCACCATTCACCAGGATCGAAGTAGCTGCTGTGGTATTTGTGTTGTCATCCTTCTCAATGGAATCCTCTCTGGAACTGGGCGTATGGCCACTGCCGCCGTGACTAACGCAGCTGCGCGACTTGTGGAAACGCTTGGTGGATAGACGAAAATAGCCGCGTATACGTTCTTGCTCATCCCTGTGCGAAAGACGAAGAGAAGAGAAGAAAAAGTAAACAAAGTTAAGAATAAATTATGTACATGGGGATAGTCACGATGATAGCAATACGGTATTTTTATAGCTAAAGAAGAGAAAATAGATGAGCGCAAATAACGGGATTTAATTAAAATAAACATTCTGCAAATCCCCATTGTTGACGCTGACGACTGACTGCGCGAGCTCAGCAAAGCTGATTGTAATTAGTAATTTAATGTCCTTATTTTTACGATGGACATGCAAAGTGGCAATGCTTTGGGCTTAAGTACAATTTAAAGAAGATGAGTGGAAATCAGAGGGGAATAAAACTGAATATGAAATAAATTTAAGGCCAATTAAGATTGAAAAGCGTAAATGAATGCATTAAAAGAAAACCAGAATGTATAATTTTTTGACAGTTGAAAAGAAGTGGCCATACATCATGATCAATTAAAACTTGGCATCAGTGTTGCCAGATTCACTGTTTTAACTGCAAATTACAATTTGAACGGATAAGTTAAAATTTCTGTTTCGATTTTTTGTAAGTAAATCATAAAGATAAAAGGCACGATGAAGGAGCAGCATTTGTTGATTTTAAATAAAAGGTGTCGTTCGTCTTTTGAATTTCAGTCGCCACAGTAAATACGAAAAGAAATTTTTTCCGAATCAATATGAATCAAACAAGAAATAAACCAGAAATTCCTGCACTCTCTGCTATTTTAAGAACAAAATATTTTCAAAACAACCTTTCAGGAAGTACTAAACTAGAAACTGATTTCATTAAAACAAAATGTTTTTTTTTAATATTCCATTTTATAAAGTCTACTTTTAGGTATTATTTAAATGGTTTATGTTATTTTATTTAAAATGAATGGTGTTTTGTTATTTATGTACAATAATATACAAAAATATTATTTTTTTTAATTCTCTTTTTAAGGCTACAGATTTTTGGTCGAAAATACAGTTCTTTCCGAAACTTCAGTTAAAAAAAAGCGCTGGCAACACTGCTAGACATATAAAATGAGCGAAAAAACATATCATTTGAGGCAGTAAATCGTATAAGTACGCTTTTCAAATACCCGCAAATATATGATCAGTTTCTCAATGACCTATGCTATATGTCCAGCTTTTAAGTTATAATAAATTATGTGCAGTTCCTTAATAACACTGGATTACAAATTTGTGTTTTTTTTTTTTTGTTTGTATACCATGAGCCCCTATCCAATTCTTCTGAAGAATTGCTCGTTGATTCCGAAAATCAAGTTAATTTTTTCAATTTACCGATGGAATTTGATGGAAAATTAAAAAGAATTCTAACTTTAACAGGGAAAAAATTAAAACCTAACAAACTCAATGTAATTTTTTTTTTCATTTGTGTAAAAAGCATATTCTGTTGCAAAAAAAAAACAAGCTAAGTTAAGAAAATTAATGGATAAATAAAAAAGAAATGCGTAGTCAAAGGAAAACGCGGAAAAATTTTGTGTATGAAATATGAGCAGGAAAGAGTTTTACTCATGTATACATGTCAGGAATCACACCGATTTTCAAAAAAAAATAGGATTTATAACAAATGAAAAAAATTTACACAAAGGCTGTTATTTTTTTTTCTCTGTTAAAGTTTAAATTTCTTTCCTAAAAAACCCTGGAGTGACTAGTTAACTTCTCAGAAACTATTAGGGCTATGGAAAAGTGTTTTATACACGGTTTATGGAGAATTTGCAAGTTCTTATTGTCTGTGTTTCGTGTTCAGATTATTAGTTATATTCCGTTTGTATATTGAATTACCAAAGATGAATTTGCAGTTTTTAAATGACTAATGTAGGGTTTTGAAAGCGACAAATGTATGCCATGCTTTTAAATTATAGCAAATTTTGTATGTACATATGACTGGTCTTAAAGTTACAAATGATAATGTCCGATTCCTTATTTACCAAAAATTTATAACAATTTTTTAAGAATTATGTCCAGTTTGTATGTTATAGTACCACACAATTCACGTCCAGATTTTAAATTACCAAATAATTATGTTCAGTTTTTGAATGACAAAAGATATATGTACATACGTCCAATTTTAGAATTTCTTTAAATAATGTTCAGTTTACGGCTTATAAGAAATACAAACTTCTTTATAAATGACCATAATTATAGCTCAGTTTTAAAACTAACAAAAAATTATGTCCGGTTTCAATACCGCCAAAAATTTGTGTTCAGTTTTCAAATAACCATTGCAAAAAATTTTTTAAATGAAAACTTTACGTACTGTTCTTACATGGCCAACATTTATGCCCAGTTTTTAAATATCCAAAAATTCATGTCCAGTATTTAAGCTACGAAATATTTATATCCAGCTCTTAAGCAGCCAAAAACCTAATCTACAAAATATGTGTGACTCATTGTATTGCGTAAAAGTAATGCAAAGCTCCTATATTATAAAAATCTCGTTTTTACTCAACCGAAAATATATGTCCAGTTTTGTAATGGCCCAAAAATTATGTCCAGTTTTTTAGTTACTAAAAAAAAATGCCAAGTTCTTAAATGCTAAAAAAATGTATGTGCAACTTTCAAATTAACAAAAAATTATATCCAGTTTCTAGTTCACGAAAAAATCATTACATTATCAAAATATCATATCCGCATTTAAAACTGGCTAAAAATTATGAACAGCTTCACACAACTTTTGTGACCAGTTTTTAGTTTACCAAAGCTTTATGTTTGTCCAATTTTTGAATTATGTCCGCTCTTCAAATTAACAACAGTTAGGTCCAGCTTTGAGTTGATGTAAAAAAATGTTTTCGATTTTTAAGTGACCAACGAATTAAGTCCAGATTATAAATTGGCCAAAAATTGTGTCCAATTTTTAAATAACAAATTATTTGCGACTAATTTATAAATACTACAAATTTCAGATGAGATTTTAATTAACCATAAAATTATGTACAGTTTTTAATTACATACTAAAAATATGTGACCAATGTTTAAATTGCCAAACATTTATGTACAGCTTTTTAATTAAGACTAGATCCAACTAGACCTTGGTTTTTTAATTATAAATAAAAAACTTAAAACATCTTTTTTATCACCCGAACGAAGAATCTTTGGCATTTACTTCTTAGAACGCCAACGGTTCAGGGCCTCTATAATTCATTATATTTAAACTCATTTTATGACATTGGCTATTGCGGCTTTCATTTCATTATTCATGTACGCAATATTTCTCATATTTTATTTCTAAATTGGCTAAAGTGGTATTAAAGGTTCAACAAGTTGTTTGTTCTCTATTTATTTTACGCTTCCGTGCTTTTCTGTTTTCCTTTTTTTTTGTGTAAATAATTGTTTAGTGCGCAGAGTGGAAATTCATTGTTACTGTTTTCTTACGGTTTACTTTTTTTGTTTTCACTTTTTATGCATTTGGTTCGCGACCAACCACTTTCTTGCAAAAGGCAATAGGAAACTCATTCTACGAGTATAAAGGAAAAATAAACAAAATGAATTAATATTTTAGGACAAGGGGTAAAAAGATGAAATGTCTAAAATAAGAGTGGTCAAAATGGGAAATTTCGGTAGAATTTGAGAAGTACGGGAGAATGACAGCAAAAAATGCCAATTTAAAAGGAAAAACAGGAAAAACATTAAAATATAATTTCCGCAGAAAAATGCTAGGCAAAAGTGATTTCCTCTAAAAAATTTTTCGGTGCCAATCAAATTAGAAAATACAAAGAAAGTTGCTTTGTTGTGGTTCGCATGCATGTATATGGTTCATGGTATAAAAGTTGTTAAAAAATTAAATGAAAAATTAGCAAACATTGTTGCTGTTAGTACTTCCTAATTTTTCCTCTCAGTACATCTACATACTATACATATATAATGTACACATTTATGTTCAATATTTTGTCCTGGAAAGCCCTAAACTAAGGATGGTAAAAAATGTTGAGAAGTAAGGTTGCCAGATATTTGAAAATTTAAAGTTATTTAAAGGTCAATAAAATATTTGAGTTTCTTCATCAAGACTAAAAGCGTTTGAAGATATTTAAAAATATTTTTGAACTGGGTTGCCACCTCTAAAAAAAATAGTACAATGATTATTAAAAATTTAAGCTTATTTAATACCACAATGTGTGTATCACACGAAGGTGGACTAACATGTTTCTAAATAGGGTTGCCACCGGTCTGGTAACTAAGATGAGGTAATATATTAAGTTAAGTGAAATGATACAATATGCATTTTTGCACATCCGCTAGTTTGACATGGTAGCGGTTAAAACTTCATTTTAACACTTTTCGTTTGAAACCCATAGCATGATTTAAAAAAATTTTATTGTAGATAAATGGCAACCCTACTTACTTTTACTGACAAGGAGGTAGGAGTTAAAAATTACTAAAACTCTGCTTACGTAATAGCGCCTTATTTAAAAAATAATGATTGTTTAGGTCGTTAAATAAATTTTGTTTTTATTAAAAAAAAAACAGGCCGAAAAGCTCCTGGAATAAACACTTAAGATAATTTACACCCTCAAAATCACAGAATAACAATTATTTAAAACAAAAATCTAATTACAACCAATTATTTATAGGTTTTATTTTAAAAAAATAACACCTTCCCTACTATACATAGTTACATATAGCTGACGTTACTAATATAATCGATAAATGTACATATTTATCGATGCATCTTCTAAGGGCCGGTTACTCAATGTCTGGTTAGTGTTTAAGCATGATTTAATTACTAAATTTTGGATAAAAATTGACATTTGCGTTTTCCGATTGCCTTGTAAGGTTGCATTTGAGAAGTTTATAGAAAAGGGTAATAATTTGATCCCCTTTTGTGAAAATGCAGCAGAAAGGTGGAATCGCGGAAGACAACTGTTGGTTTATCCAGTTGAATTATGGTGTTTAACAAAGGTGTTGCCGTTAGTTTTATTGGTATTGCAGTCTACATTAACATATATTCATCGATATAATTTTCGATATCCCCTTCATCGCATCACTTACGAAGCACAATTGTTTGGCTAACACATGATTGAGCTGTGAGCAATCAAATCAAAAGCACTCGACTTTCCGATCTTTGCTGCTATTAACTTAATTAAACTCAACCATTTGTAGAAGGCTTACGTACCATAACGAAGTTATGCTTTCACAAATAGCTTTTAAGTCTACTTCTCAACACTATCCCCCTCCCCACTATCATTCCACATAACCACACTCCACTCCAACACTTACCTGGGTAATATTTGCGAGGCATAAATACATGGAAATATAACAGTTGGCAGAAAAGCTATCCACACAAACATCAAGTAGGTGAAGTCAAAGTGTTTCTGATTCTCGTAGGTCTCCTCCATGGAGAGTCGTGCGAAACGTAAAATCATCAACGGACACAGGCAGACCACTTGTGCTGCGGCCATGCTGCCAAAGTTGCGTTGCTTTCGCTTCTCTCGATAGACATCCAACTCGGCGCTATACAGATCGTACGAACGCGTTTTCGTTGCTGAGCAATTGGAGGAAGTAAGACCAAGCCCGCCAGCACCGCTACTGCTGCCACCACCATTGGTATGTGTAGTGGTGGGCGCTGAGGAGCCAATGCCCGAGGTGGAGGTAATGGTAGCGCCAACGCTGGCACCCACCGATGAAGCTGATGAATTGCTGCAAATGAGGGAGAAAATACAAATGAATGATGAAGCGCATACTTTTATATCTACATATGTTATTATATAAATATGTATGTATGTAGGTATGGGTAAGAGGGTATGCAATATCCATTAAATGGTTTGCTTGGTATGTACAAATGGGCGTAACCCTGCAGGAAATGTATCGAACTATAAGTGAACTTGAAGTTGATTAAGAATAGACTAAAGATCACTATTATCTGTTTATTTTCTTTGATGAAAGCTAAATATGTATATTTCTATGGCGATGGTTGCGAAATAGCCTGCATTGGATGTCAACTAACTTGTAACTAACTACTTTTGGGCATAAAATATCAATAAGAAAAACTATACCTTTTCATTTTTTTTACTTGTTTACTTATTTAATTTATTTAGCATTACAGTCTATATATTCTTCATTCATTCAATTAATTTGTCCGGAATTCGAAAAGGTATTTGTGAAGTGCAGAAAAAAGTGTATTCAAGGTAAAATTTTCTATGAGGAAATTCAACTAGAAACTTTTGCATTACTTTTCAACTAGTTTGAAGTTATCCTTTTGTAGTTAACTACAAGTTATATATTTTATGGAAATCCCGCAAAAAAACCAGTTACAAGTGGGTTACTTTTTATAAATTTATGCTTTTTTCTGCAGGAGAATATCGCGAAAATGCAGTTATTACCGCTATTTCACAGCCAGCCTCGTAATAATGTTATTAAATTTAGCTAGAAAACAATGAATAAATAACAAAGACAGGCGTCAAAAAAAGATGCCAACGGCGTGAATTGGTGCTTAGTGTCGATTAATTTGTAGCTGCGTTGCCCAGGTGAGAGACTACAAGCAAATTGTGTTTAAGTACGAAGACTGCACCGATGAGAAGATGTTGCGTTAAATACGAGTATTAATAATGAATTTCAGGATACGAAGGAAACAAAGCGCGGGCTTCTTTTGTAATAAATTGAAGACCTTGGCCTATTCTGGTATGAATTAAGAGAGACAATTCAAGGTTATGAATTTCTAAAAAAAAAGTATATTATTAGCAAAGAAGGCGACAGAGCAAGATTGGGAATTAAATATAAATATGAAGAACAAAAAGGCATAATAATTAATCCACCGTAATAATTGGTAAATCAATCATTTAGGTGTAACTTGGCTCTTGCCACCTTTGCGTTATTTTATTATATTAAGCAGCTGCGCCTTTAGCTAATTTAAAATTTAGAAAATGTGTCCACTTTTACGCTTGCAAAAGTAATTAAGAAGGAACGGAGTTGGTGGAAGTTGCTTGTTTTTTTTTACAAAGTAATTGAGTTGTTTAGAATTAAAATTACCACAATTTAGCTTTATACAAATTTGATATTGCCTTTTTGCATTTAATTAAGTGATTCTAGCCCATTTAAATTATTTCACAAAATTTTAATAGTTAAAATGAAGACTACATTCGGAAACAATTCTGTGAAAAAATTTCGATATAAACAAGTAAAAGTAGTGCTGTCTTCGGCTATGCCGAAAACTTCATACCTTTCTTGAAAATCACAAAATTTTACTTTAACAAATTTCTGCATTCGAAATTAGTTGTTTGAGAGCTAAACAAAATTTTTATATTTACAGCATACATAGAAAGAGGAGTTACATACTTAAAAAAAAAATAATATCTAATCAATCAGTGGTATGGAAGATATACCTTCTAAGGCATCAATTTAAGTGATTTTCACTGCCGGTAACACAATTTAATGGGGTATAAAAGATTTATATCGCAGAAACTTTTATTTGGATAATCAGCGGTATAGGAGATATAGCTTATACAGCTCCGATCTTGACGATTTTCACAGCAGACTTTAATTGATTATTTATTTAGAAAGTAACTCACGAAACCTCACTCGGTTTTAGCTGTCCAAATAAAAGAGTTCTAAAGTAAACACCATATCTGAACAATCAGTTGTATGAGAGCTTTATGTTAAACTGCCCCAATCCGTGCCATTTTCACTGTAAGTATTCTATAATGCGAAATTTTATGGTCCCAGCTGCGTAAATGGAGGAGTTATAACGAAAAGTCTCATATCTGAACAATCAGTTGAATGGAGGCTATAGGTTATAGCAACCCGATCTTTTTCATTTTCAGAATTAGTCCGACAATTTGAATATGCTATACACTTTCTTCGAAAATTTTGCTCCGAACAAATTACTTCGCCCTAATGTACATATGCACAATTCTGACATTTTGATATTTATAAAACTTTCACAATGTTTTTAAGCAATTTTTTTTGTTATTTTTTCATACAAAATTTCAGGGGAGCTACTTTAAATAAAACAAGTAGGGGTGAGTTATTCATTTACTCCGGTAGCCAGTACAGCTTTCAAGGCCTGCTTGACTGTATTGCTCGATTCAACGTGATCGGGGTCATAAATAGACTACATAACCGAGCTTGCCACACAGACGTCTTTGTGTTTCTTAATATCCCACACACTGGCAAGACTAAAAATGCCAACATCAGCAGCTCACAAAATTCATACCCTCAGCCCCCTTTCCAACAGTATTGGGATGATAGAGTCGCATTTATATTTAATAAACCCGGATGATAACGAGACAACTTAGATGTTAAGTTGCCACGACTCTCTTCCTTAGGGAAGTCACAGCCCTATTCAAAATTTTTTTGTAACGAATCCGCTACCGCCACTTGGCTAGCCGTGACTTAATAGATCTCCCAGCCCATACGCTTTACATTACGGATTTCAGCTCTGACCACTGGTTCCGCCTTCCCACTACGTTCATGACGGCGACCCTGTCGTTAATTGGTTATCTGTTGACTGCGGATATTTATGCAAAATACGGAGCCTAGAAATATGTGCAACGCCATAGCAGAAAACATGCTTAGTGGTTGAAGTTTCTGACTCCCTGTCGAGTCGATAATTGGTATTGTCGACGCCGAGTGCGAAGAGTCTACCATCCTCTCGTCCCGATACATAGTAGATCTTCCACTCAGATGCAGATAATCCAGCATTCTTTCTCATGAAGGGGCTGAGTTTTCGAACAAAACACCATGCGCGGGCAAGTATGTCTAGTTCACGAGGAGAGTTAACCATTAACGTGATCCATTGATATGAGGAAATATTTCCCGAGAGATTTTGGGCAAGACCATTTTGTTGTGTTTACAGCTTCTAAGTTAATAATACTAATATTTTGGCGCCTTCGCTTCTGCTAAGTGCTTGGCCCGGCTTCTCCTCAAATTCGTGATGTGTGCCTTGATTTAGCTACACAGTGGCAGGGACTTACAGTTTTACGCCGCCTTCGAACGGAAAATGTATTATATATGAAGCTTTTTCAGGGCAAAAATATACTCGGGGGTTTGCCATTGTCTGCCGCTATTAAAAAAATAACCCTTTCCAAGGATCGATCCAAGGTCCTGCCGGGTGGTACTACGCACCTCTAACCAATCTGCCATAGCGTCCAGCTTCGAAGTTATTCCTGCAAAATAATATGTGTCCCAAGACTCGGTTCTCTTTGTAGATTCTCAGTCACGACTACATGTACTACCATTTTCTCATGTGGCTCTTTCTCTCAGCTTTTTAAAGCTGCGTTAAAAGCGCAGGTTTTAAGACAAAAAATATCTAATTAATCTACGTTCACTATTTTTTTCTTTTTTTAATTCTGTGGCGATTTAGAGGCTAGCGCTTATCACGCTTCAATACATTAGACTAAACAAGTCGCAGAAAGGTGAATTGTCATGTCTCTCGAATAATCTTTGGTTAGAAGCGGACACTTTTTCTTAGTTTTTTTTTTTTTGCAGTATTAAGTACAAACAACATTTTGCCGCACGGCTACGAAAAATTTCCGCTGACTACACAATTTTTCCTACTATTTTTAGATTGTAGAAGTAGAAAGCAAAATTGCTACAAATAACCTCGAACGTCTTTATTTTGTCAATTACCTTTTTTATTTTCTTTGAATATGTTGCGCGTGTAAGAAACATAAAAGCACATTCAGCAGCAGGCCAGTAGCAACCAGTGTTGCCAGATTTTTTATTTTTACTTTTTTTAAAGAACTGTAAATTTCTGAAAAAACGGTATTTTCGACGAAAAAATATTATAGAATTCAAAAACAAAGAATTTTTTTAAGAAATTAAACATAAATAACAAAAAAACAAGATTAAGTCAAAGACTCTTTTTTCCCTTTCCAGTCCAAAGTTTCGCTGACCTTTCTCAGCAGCTTCAGCAGGGCGATTTGCGTGAAAACTATTAAACATTGAACTTAACAACAAGAGCACTCATACAAACTCTGTGTGGCGCAATTGTCAAATTATTACTAACTCAAATAGCCTCAAATAACAAACACTAACAAACTCGATTTTTTTTATAAAAAATGTCAAATATTATAAGCCGTTTAAATTATAATTAACCAAACAAAAATAGACTTCAAAAATGGAACATTCTAATCAAATTTTGTTATAAATGAATTTCACCTTTATATTTTATTATTTTTTTTTTTTATTTAATGAAAATGGCATTTTGTTTTAATGAATTTAGGTTTCGTAAATTGCTTTGTTATTTTAATTTTTTTTAGTACTTTATTCGATATCTAAAATTTATTACCTCCGCAACACTTTTTTAATAAATGTTTAGATATTAAAATACTAAGGAGCGCTGGAATTTCTAGTATATTTCTTGTTTTATTCGAATTTTTTTGGGAAAATATTCTTTCCAATTTTGTTTTGGCGGCTGGAATGCAAAGGATAGGTTACAATGAGGAAACTCTGCTTTTTCATCGTTTTGTTTTATGCTGGTGGCAGAAATAATTGACTCGTCTTATTTTGGCTACAGATATTTCTTTGGTCGATTTAATGTTTGATATTTTTTTTTATAAACTCCTTATAAATCCACATTTCACCAAAATTTCAAATCTTTTATTTTTAACTTCTGATTTTTAATTTTTATTGTTGGTGGTACTTATAAGCATTCTCCTCCATATAAGAAAAAAATTCGAACATACTCTCGGAAAAAATGC